AAGCACACCATTTAATGGTGCCACGTTTAATGTTGTATAATCACAACACCATTGAGGGCTGTATTCAAAACCACACTGAAAATCACTGGCTGATCCAGCCTGATCCTGCACCCAGGATCCACTGCACCAGCATCTGACAATCGCTCTGAGGATTTCATCTTGGTACCAACAGCAGTCAGGGAACTGCTGGTTATGACATGGAGGTCTGTGCGACCCTCCAAGGATATGCCTCTATATTGGCAGTGAGCTACCTCATATCAGGACAATCATCCTCCGCTTGCCCTGCTTTCCTCAGATGTGCTGTTGCCCCATCATATTTGTCTATGACTCTGGACCCCTTTTATAAATACATTCATATTGAGACAATGAGTCCATGGTTTGCAATAGGGTTTTAAAACCTGTTGAAACCTGTTGTGTCCTTAGAATCTGTCTCATCAATGTAACCGCTAATGTAAAGAGGGCCTCTATATACAATGACACAGAATCTTTTCACCCTGAAATATTTTAGTATAACAAAAATCAATTATTTTATACCACATCTCACCTTTGTTTCCAAGAATATTCTACACAGATAAAAAAGGAACAAAATACTGCAGTGGTCTGACTCCAGTTAAGCTAAATTCTCACAAAAGAGCACTGGGGTGGCTGTGGCTCATGGGATAGAGCGGATCTTCCACTCTTCAGAAGGTTGGTTGTTTAATCCCGGGCCCCTCCAGTCTGAGTCCCAAATTTGCTCTGACGGATGTGCTGGCAATGTGTAAATGTGACAGTGTGATAGAAAAAGCAATGTAGCGTAGTATACATTTGTGAATGACACTTGCACTGTAAAGCACATTAAGTGGTACATAACTATGGTGAACACATGTCATTCCCATCTTGAAAGTTCATCAGACTCAAAACGCAAAATAAACTTATATTTTATAAGGTAGATTCAGCAGAGAATGTTAAAAAAAAAGATACTTGGGATGTAATTACACGTTCAGTGAAAAGGTGTTTCTGGAGAAAGTCACACTGTTGATATGAAAGTAAAACAGTTTTTTATCAAATCAACCTCTTATATATTTACACAGAAGAGAGAGGGGGGAAAGAGAAAAGGGAAAGAGAAGTGTCAGGCTGCCCAGATAAGTGAGCTGTACCAGCACATCATTGAAAACAAAGCACTGCCGATGTGCCCACACATGAGCATCTAGACAATAGTATTGATACCTAGCTGGGCCAGATTGGGACAATTCAAATTCAGGTTGGGCTCTGTTTCCCAATTCACTCCTTAGCCTTACCACTTGGACCTACCTCTTTATTTTGCACGTTGCCATAAGGGGGAGTGTTCCATTTCTCTATAGCTGTTGTCAGTCCGTCTTTCACACATGGACACACCTGGAGGTTTTCTGCACAGAAACTTTCACAACAGCAATCAAATCCCCCGCATTATTCAGAGAGGTGAAGCAGCTGGGTGCAGCAGACAGACATAGGAAGTGAGTATTAACTCAAATACGGAGATTATGTGATTTTGTTTACAGCACCCTGAAACTCTCTTGACATCTTTGTCAGCCTCTCCGAATACAGCCCTTGCTGTGTTCTCACATGGACTGCTCCTGGATTTCTAAAAATTTAATACTAGGACGTCAGGTGGATAAAGTCTGTAGAAACTGCGGAGCATCTCAATCTGGCATTTGCGTTCATCTGGAGAAAATACAGAGGACGCCCAGTAGTGTATGCAAGACCCTGTAGTGGAATATCTTATTTTATTCCATTTGCAAATAAAATATATATATAAATATATATAATATAACAATAAAATATAATCTCTGTAATGCATCCCTGAGACAAAATATTAAAATCACTGTTCACCAAAACAAGTGTGTAGACTGTCTGAGAGTAACAAATAACGTTTGGGTGTAATAATGTTTGTTGGCTGCTGATGAGAGAAACTTTTTTAAATCACTGGTGAATATTGGAATCTTTATAAAAACTGTGCAAGTGGATTTAAGAAGAAATTTCGAGCGACGAGCAGTCCTTGTCCGATTCTTTGGTCATCAGTCTCAGAGGCACAGTGATGGCAGGAATAACATCTGATGCCACTCATCAAAGGAGCTTACTTTTTGTTGACACAAAGAGAGCAAGAGTGCAGGATCTCATGTGCCTAAGCAAGTAAAGTACATAATTCTGGTTTATAACACGCTTAAAGAAATCTTTATTACAAATATAACCTGTTGGGTTAAGGAACTACTGTAACTAATGATGTTTGATCAAAGTACAGAAAGTCTGGTAAAATGAATACAAAATAACCGGAAGAAAATTCTTTAAAGTAATGATTAATGAAATATAATGGATAGGGCGGAATGTATCAAGTCCATAAGAATTTAAAGGGTTTTGCCTTATTATTCTATCACTCTGTGAGAAGGAGGGAGTACAGTAGACAGCAGGGTGAGGCAGGGTTAATAATGATCAACACTATGTGTGCATTATACGCTGTTTTAATCACTATGACGATATCTCAAAACTGCTCAAATCATTGTGACAGCGTCTGTGGAAAGTTTCAGAGGAAGTGTGGAGAGAGTGGGACAAGTATTCAAAGGTAAAACTGGGGAGAATAGAGGTTCTTCTTTCTCGGCAGCCAAGCTGACCAGTGAAGGCCCTTCCCAGATGAGGACCAAAGATAGAAAATGCAGTCTCCTTTCTACGAGAGAAAGCATCCATGGATTATATCTACAGTACAGTTTGGATTTAACTATTCTGGGAAGTCAAATATATCTCAACGTACAGACAAGCCAACAGAGCTGTGGATTACAAAATCTTTCAATGGATACTTTTGCCTGCTCTTCCATTTGAGTCTTGGATTACAAAAGAGAACTATCAGACTTTGTATTGAATCAGGAGTTTTCAACAGAACTCCGACTTTTGGTGGGACACTGGAGGCGGCTTCGGCCAAGCTGCCTCTCTCTCTCTTCCTCTCTCCAAATTAAATCATGTTATCAATTTATTAAAGTATGCATAATTATTTCTGTAAGCTTTGCCCTTGCAAAAACATTGCAATAAATTTATTAATTAATAGAGAAGTTCTGGATATTGAATTTATGTTCAGTATTGCAATTTACATTTAAAAGACTGGCTGGTGATATACTTGCACTCATCTTATCTCTCTGCCACTCTCTCTGAATCTTCACTAGCCTCACAATTAGATTACAATACACCTGTCCACGATTTTGTCACTATTCAAATGATTAATGATTCAAATCTCAATGCATCTCAGTGCATCACATCATCATCATTTCTATGTTATTGCACATATCATTAGTGTTTTCTCATCAATTAATAATATCATTCAGATAAATCTGAACTCTCTTTTTATTTAGAGAGTGCCCCCCCACTCGTCAATTGAGATTTAGTTATTAACTCATTGTTGTTGAACAAGTGATTCTGCTCCTCTGCTCTGCTCTTATCTATCATGTGTGTATGTGTGTGTATCTGCTCATCTTTGTTCCTCAAACTGACGGTCACATTTATTTAGTTTGTGATGGATGATGTCAGATCATGAATCTGGATCAATCTGCTCACTTTAACATGTTATGTGTGGCAGGTTTAACTGCATGCCCACAAATCATTGTAACTCAAGAGTCAATCAAATAAAGACAATGTCAACTTGTGGGATACTGTACATGTCCTAATTGTTTTTATCATTATTGTGTCTGTCCTCCTGATCCTGTAGCAGTGTCTGAAATAATAATGCAGTAGTGGGAAGCTGCTACTAATTGAACATAGTGGAAAACTAGAATTGATTTTCTTTCGTCACTGCATCGATACATCACAGTTTCAGTTCATTTCTATACAATGGCAAAACGCGAAGCAAAACTGGAGTGCTTTGTGTTCAAAATGCAAAAGTTAAGTGAACTGTGATGCAGACTTGTAGCGAACTATACTCAGAGGGGAGGGGACCAAATCTGCCAGGAGGTCTGAGTCTTTTTTCAGCTCTATGAAATGTGCCTTTTATTTCAGGTACAGGAGACTATATAAAAAGAATGCCATAAGATACACGCGCTACACTGTCAAGACCGAGAAGACTTATGGCCACATTCCAGATCTGCAGGCTGGGACTCTTCAGACTGCAGATGAAGGTTGCATTGCGCTGATGACCTTAGAAGATTTGGCCGACACAAGTCAGGAGAGGTGTTGGTGGATGGAACACACTGGCTCATTATTTGAATTACTTGAAGAAGTCCAGATGACCTATATTTTTTAGCACTTGGATATACTTGAATCTAGATA